ATAAAATCTAGTTACCCCCCAAGAGGGCCCGAATCCAATATTCAAAATGCTTTTTAGCTCTGGGCCATCTGGGGATCCATCCGGGGCCCTCCTGGAGCCCCCCTGGGGGTCTCCCCAAGGCCCACCCACAGCCCCCTCGAACCCATTGAGGGCCCCAAAGAACGCCCCAGAGGGCACCCATCAGAAGGGGCCCAAATACATGTATGTTTGGAGGGCCCGCATCAGGATGCATGGTGCAACATGAGTTTGGGCCGTTGCGTGGGCCACGCCGGTGCCCTCTTGGAGCCGTCTTGGGCCGCGCTGGGGCTGTCCCGAGGCCCCGAGGATGCCCCGAGAGAACCCCGAGAGAGTCCCAAGGAGGCTCCTGCAAGCGACATTTGCATGCACACTTTTACGTCGTATTGTTTCCGCGTGCCCCCTTGAAGCAAGAGGGCAAGGTTTTCCTCGATGTGGCATGCATTGCCGTTTGCCCCACGGCGCGGCGTCGTGCTCAACAACAACGTCCCCCGCCATGCCATTGCGGTTGCATGATGCACCGTGCACCTTGACCTGGGGCCCACTGGGGGTCGGCTTGGAGAGCCCTCTCGGAGCTCTTTTGGGGGCCTCAGAAGACCTTTTTTTTTTCGGAGCCTCGTTGCGGCTTCGGGGTGGGGGGGGGGCTCGCCCAGCTCGCTCGAGGGAAACCGCGAGCTCCGGAGTCCGACCGCCAGCATCAATCGTCTGGCAACCCACGCATATCCTAACATTCTCGGTAACCTAGGAAAGCGGGGCCCCGGGCGTCAGCCGAAATCGACGGCGAGTTGTTGTCAAATCCCTGCAATTTCCGCGAGGGGCCACTGTCGAGCATTGATTCTGAGACAAACACAAAACGCACGCGAGTGGTTAAGATGATCGAGTCAACAGTAGCACCGAAAAGTGTCAGCGGGCAATCATATGTTCCCTCTAGTTGCGAAGCCGCTCGCGCCCCAAGATGCAGATGCGATGGTGCCGCATCTGAAAACATTGTAGACGCACGCGCAAGAATGGCAGCGACGCCCCCATTGCTCCTTCGCCAATTTCGCCAAACAAGCACGCATTCCGACTCGATCGAGGAAGCTGCGCGGCACACTTGCTGCACTTCATGACTTCTGTTTGCGAATTCCTTTGGGGCGGCGCCGGTCGTGCCCCGAGAGCGCTTCGCGCGTGGGCAATTCATTTTGCTCGAGTCTGCAGCCAACGCACGCGCGAACCGCATTGACCTCGAAAACGCAAAACTCGCTACGCAAGGGTATGGTTTGCTAGGGGTCGGTTTGGCCGCCCCTGAACCAAGCTTGATCTTGGACCTCCCCGATAGCACATGCAACAATGAGAGTCTTGGGATTTGTCGGTCACCCAAGCGCTCACAGTTTGCAACGGCTTGCAACTTATTCAGCCGAGCCGCCTGAACATCCAGGTGATTCGAAGAATTGCCAAATCTAGCCTTTCCAAATGTCAGCGCTTCGCGAAGCCACGCGCTGCGATTACTGGACAATTCGCCTCCCGCGCGAAGGGCAACTGGAAGAGGGCGTTGTGAACGATCAGCTCGCACCGACCCCAATCGTAGTTCATTATTGGCGAGCTTGGCGGCCCGCCGGCTTCAACGAAGATGGCTGACCACTGATGCACCGGCTTCCCAAGAGCAAGATGCAACTGCGAATCGAGCAAGCTTCACGGACCGGTTGGCAGCGTGCAGGGCCACCTGTTGGCGATGACGACTCGTGGTATAGGATGTGTCCAAAGCAGTCCGCAGCACCCCAGGCTGCAGAGAAGATAAGGAACAAGCCTCGATGTCCATGCAACGCCTGTGAAAATCTCCCAAACTCGCTGGATCCGTCGGGGCCCACCCAATGAGATTACGCACATGTGCCCCACTCTCTCCATCATTCCTCTGAGCTGCTACTCCCCCTCTCCTCCTCCCCGTTGTTATCGTTCCCCTCCCAGGCCCGCAGAACGCCAACCAGCGATCTGTGATCAGAACGGCTGAAGACCCTGGCATCAATGCTCCTTGGGCGTACCTGGCCAGATATAGTGCGTGACACCGCTATAAAATCAATATGGGTACGTCTTCCCATTGTTCTCCACCGCCCGCACATTGATTAACGGGCCCCCCGGGCACCTCAGCTCCAGATGGAAGGCCGTAGGTGTTCAGCGCCCCGATTCCCAAAAGCATCAAGCCAAACTAATATGGCACCCGCCATGGCTGGCGTATGGGACGGAGCCGGTCGAATAACACGATCACCAGTTAGAGCTTCACGCCTTCCGGGCAGAGTTACATAGGCGCCAACTCCCAAAACTACATCAAAACTGCCTCCAATAAATGTGCGCCGCACGCGCTGCACATATTCCAGAGTCTCATAAACTACTTGCTGTCCCCTCCCACCTCCGAGTAGATGGTCTAAAACGCGCGCTGAAAGAAAAATAATCCGGCCTCAAGCGGCCCAATAAGGACGGTAATACTCAGATCGCACTGCCGGCATCCAAC